GACTCAAGACACAACGTCGATGTTGTGATGAGGAGCAAGAAGTGTCACGGTTGGTTGATTGTTGATTGTTGATTCACCTACACGTGATGCCAAACACTCGTCAACTCAACGTCAACTGCTGCTCATCCCACCATTGCCCCCAATGGCCTCACGCTCCTCATCCCCGTATGTCGTACCTGCAGAAGAAGATCCGTCTACTCACGCAGGCCGCAATTCTTCCCAACCTCAACAACAAACACGAGTTCTAACGAAAAACACGCTGTCGCAAGCTCAGAAAGCCACGCGTTCCCTTCGCCAGATTTCCGACCATGCAAAGGCTGAGGAGCTGGCAAAAGCTCTTGATGTTCTCCTTTCCCGCCACCGCACCGAGCTGGAAGATTTCGCAAAAGCGCACAACACGAAACTGGAGTACATCCAGAAACTCACCTCTCAGTCAAGCCACTACAAGCAAAAACGAGCCGTCACGATTCAGAACGCAAAGTTACATGCAAAATCCCTGGAGGTCAACGGAGGTATGTACATAACCCACCACTACATCAAGCTACATGTTAACAGCTCTGTTCAAAGATCTTGAACTCGGGGATAGGATCAAGGTGAAGGAACTTCGTCAACTAGTACATGATGACCCTACCTACCAGAACCTTACCGCAGAGGAGGAAGAACGGATGAAGCAGGATGTCTTGGAGCTTCGTGAGCAGAGGAAAACCGGCGCTCGTCCAACAAACAAGTCAGCAGCCCAAGACTACCGTGCGCAGATGACGCAGATGAACAATGAGGCGCGTCGTCCTCTCATCTCACTTCCTTATTGCTGACGCTCTTCAGATAAGTGCACTGTCTGACAGAACAGGAGCTGCAGTCGTCGCTTTCTTTAGCCGCTCCAACCTTGAAGACACGTTTGAGCCGAACTGGATTTGCTCTCCCAATGCCGCAAACTTCTCTCAAGAGGCAATGAGCTACGGGATGTGGGACATTGCCCGGCTGTTGGAGCAGTGGGCATGTGCAAAGGCGAAAGGTAGCCGCACCGTCGACACACTCTCGACGATGCAGAAGGAATGCAGCGCGATCATCAACGGCACTCTCAGTAAGTCTTTTATACCGTGTCTCGTCGTTTCTTTGAACTAAAGCTACTGAACAGAAACGGTTTCGCAATCACGACAGGCCCTCATGAACTACGCCAACTACGATACGAAGGTCGTTGAACGATACCAGACCAAGCTCATGGGCTGGACCTACCGTGAATTCAAGAGCCCGTTCGACATCCACACCATCGACGATGTTCGCACATTACTGGAGGCACTTCAATGCGGTAGGTGCTGTTGGGTAAGGATGACCAGAAGCGACATAAATCACCACAAAGATGACGTTAGCAAGAGAATCGCAGCGGGTGAAAAGGTGGGGAAGGCAAGGCAGCCGAGGTCGGACAAAGGTGTCAAGAGGCCGCGGAAGAAAGCACCAGGGACAGGGGAAGGCGAGGACGATGGGGCCCCACCAGCGAAGAAGCAGAAGAGGGGGAAAGCCGTGCCCGAGACGCGCGCTACGACAACCAAGAAAGCGCCCAAGAAATCCAAGAAATCCCAGCTGCCCCCCACCCGTCCCACCAGCAACGAGTTTGTTGAGAGCGATGCTGATGTTGATAGTGCCTAGCTTACTCATTGAATGCCGTATGCCGTGTACCCTCCCCCATACCCTACAACAACATGATCATCACCTCCATACATATGTCTTTCATAACCTTGCTGTAATAAAATGCCATTGATCTACATACCACTGTGTTACACAAAAAAAGCGAAGGGAATGGATTGTTATTGAGGGGGATACACGTTGTCGGCGTTGCGCACGACGAGCTCGACGCGTTGCCATCAACAACGGTGAGTAAGGGTTCTTCGTGATGGCATCGAACCCTTTATGGGCAGGAGCGCAATGCCGCCAAGTGCCAAACACCGGTGACTGGTATTCATGGTTGCCGGTGAGCACAGGTAAGAATTTATTATAAAGTCCCTACGCACTACTGGTAGTTATTGCCCAGAGCGTTACAAAAGCCATATTTGATCGAACTAGACAGGAACAAGCATATCTTGTTCCTGTCTAATAGGACCAAATAGGTGGGGTTCACAGGTGGTTTTTGCTTTGTTTGTCGAGTCAGCACTTGTTATTTTCCATCATGCCTCCACGCTCATACTGCCTCTCCTTTGATCCCCCTATCATTTAATGACATTGCGGAACAGCCTGAAAGCATTGAACGTCACCCAATGCCCTCAAGGACCATCTCTGTGGCCAGCGGTGTGTTCTTGAACACTGTTAATGTTTCGACGAAGCCGACCGGACCCTGTTGGCCCTCAGCACATCTGGCGAGATCGACGAATATCGTGTTGTGTCTGTAGACGAAAACGGTGTACAGTTCGAACATAAACTCCCCTACGTAGATGTATGTCAGCCTCATCATCCTTGCAATGTTATCTAATACAGTTCACAGAGGAATGAGAAACTCAAAGCCGATAATAAGTCGCTGATTACAACAAATGACTCTCTTAAGTGTGAGATGTACGATGTTAAGGAGAGGCTGCGGCAGATCGAGGAGAGGCAGCGGGAGACGGACGACGCCGTCCTTCGATGGGAAATAGCTACAAAAGTGGCGGAAGGTCTCTTTTTCTCTTATGCCCTCGATGGTCTGCTGACTCGCCCCCATAGCTTTTGGTTACCTGCTTTTAGATGAAGGCAGTGCCGTCTCCAAAACCTCAAAAGCAGAAATGGCTAGGTACAACATTGATAATAGTATGTTTGTATGCTCTCTCCTTTCACTCCCTTGCTTACCCTTATATTACAGTGACAGAGCTTCGCTCCCTGAGCCAACAACATCGCATACGCCCCAATACGCGCACTCCTCAAACTACTGCTGCTTCAAAAATATACAATTCTATCCCGCTTTGCTACCGCCAAATCCTTGATTACATTGTGCGCGAAAAGGCTCCCGTGTACTCAGTTAGGGCGGCTATAAGTCACCCACAGGTGAAAAAGTCAGACATCTCGGTCTTTCTAGCTCCCTGTTTCCAGCAACAAATGAATCCTGCCACGGAGTTATTGCAATCAGTTCAAGACATGGAGGTCGTAGATTCGGTGTCTGGGGAGTTGGTTCCTATGTTTGTGGAGGGCTGAATACAAAGTTGCCCCTGTATACATGGTGACTATCCAGTTGACTTTTTGTAATCCTTAGTTCTCTCCTACCTACATTGTATACCAACATAATACTAGACGACAGCTACCATACCTTCTACCAATCAAATCAAAGCGGTGAGATTTCACTCACCTTTGCACTGCTTTGACGCAACGATGAGAACACTAAGTTTACGTCGTTTTCGACAAGGGGCCGATGTTTGCCAATAGATCGTAGCGCACTATGGAGAGTCAAGAATCCGATATCAGACTGAATGCAGAGCAAGGAAGAATAGAGTCACTTACAATTGCCCACCCACAGAGTCTGAGAAGTTGAAAAGCATCAAGTATACATTGAATCCATCGGGTGACCAGAGCTCCGAAAAGATGCGGTCATAAAGAGGGCGAGAAATGCGCCGCGTAACTGGGGTGGTTGACTTCAGCGCGGCGGCTGTGTTTAGCGTGCGACAGAGAAGACCCTTCAATTTCTACCAAATGTTGTCCATAAAGCTGTACCTTGATCTTGACACATCTAACTGGATTTCCGACGAATGAGATGTGTAGGGAGGGGCGTAGAAGGAGGGCACGAACATGGTCGTTCAGCTGTAGAAGCGGATAGTGGATGAATGACTCACAGGTGCAGCAGGTACAAAGTCCGTGAAACTGGCATGAGTGGACGGAGCAGCTGTGAGTGCCAGTTCGAATCAGGGAGGATCGAGGACATAGTTAGACCACAGGTATGCACCAAGGGGCTGCCACCAGAAGATTCCGTAAACTCGACACCCCCTCGCTGGGTACCACTTTGAAATTACGCGCTTGACCATCCAAACATTGATGTGACTCTCTCGATCCTTCTACGAACTACGCTAGGTCAAGAATGGTCTTCTTAACGATAAATTGTCGTCGGGGTCGAGTGTTGTTTGGGTCACTACGGCTATCCCGAACAATATCACGCATTGATTTTCCCGTCTTCAATTGCAGGTAGGAGGACGTCAAGAAGGATCCCTTCTTATTGTGGGGTGTCTGTCGACGGCATCCGATCCTTATCTTCGGTTTGGGACCCGAGCTGTACGACGTTCGTTTGCGAGAATCTGTGTCATGACCACGTAATCCGTGCGAGGAAGTCTCTTTAACCGCTTGGAAGAAGCCTCTCGAGAGGACAAGTTTCTGCGACTAAAAGATATGGGGAATGAACAATGTCCACTGGACGGTCTCGTACGCGAGAGGTGTAAGCGCTCGCAGCGAAGTGAACGCCTGGACGAGCAGCACCATCCGAGCCAGCCCATAGAGAACGAATCCAGCAGCGATCGAGTACTCAACCCCCAACTGCCAGAGGCTTTCGAACAATGAGGAATATAGAATGCACAATATGGCATTTAGCAACGGCACACAAGTGACGATCAAGGATGCTGTTCGCCACAACATACGTTCGACGTGCGAAGGGAAAGTGAATGCCCAGGCAATACAATGGATACTTCCAAAGACCACACCAAAGAAGGTACACAAGAATAGGATCCTCAATTCCCATTCGCGGTCAAACTTGTACGCGTAGTAAGTGGGAACGCGGCTGTTATCTTTGATGTCGTCAACTTCGTTTGCGTTTGCCATGTCGCGGATAGGTTCAACAACTGCGCGAATAGGGCGAAGAATCAAGGGAAAAAGGACCCTGTGCCAAAATCCTTGGTTTTCGCTGTCCGACTTCCAACTATACTGCGAAGCAGATTCTGCCGGACCAGAAAACGAGGGTAGGGGTGTCTTCGTGGCTTTCTTGTCGACCACCTCTTCTGGTACGCAGCCGTCCAGATCACTGTCAGGGGATCTCAAGTTCTCCTGCTGCACAGGAAGGTGACCTATGACCAGCTTTGATTCCGTAGCCTCCTTCAAATGTATGGTCACAGGACTCCGTACGTCGAGAGGCTTGTGCCACCAGAAGAAATACATCACTCCGTTCAAAGCCGCAAAAGCCAACGTTACGAGCTCAAGTTCTGTTATGACGAGCCCTTGCACTCCACGCGCGATGCATTGAACGATAAACCAAAACGTTTGGAATACCACCAAACTTTTAGCAAGCATGTCGCTCTTGCTCCTGTCCGCTATCTCTTCTTCTGTGATTGAGGGGAAATCAATTTCCCCAGTCTCGAGCAAAACCTCGAATTCTTCTGGAGAGAGGACGCGAGGAGTAACGTCCGTGCTGAGAAGCCTGAACCCTCCCATTTGGATAAAGAAACCGTGTGTTTTTGTCCATCCTAACCAGCCTTTGTAATTGAGAACCAATTGAAGATTAGAGATGCCATACCCCTATCTTGGTACTTGTCCTTCAATTGCCTGGCACCAACCCATTGCCTCATCGCCCACAAGATTGTCATCTCAGGCGCAAGAATGGCATACGCCATCACCTGCAGCCGTCGTCGTGCAACAATCCAAAAGCTATCCCCATCGGCGGGAATGTTAAGGTGCACAGCGAGCCAGGTGCAGGCGAATATGGTGAGAAGGCAGCTCCAGACGATGTCCCAGATAGAGCGAGAAGAACCACCAGTGTTGAAGATGATGGGACAATCACAACTGGTGGAATCAATGGCGCGTGAGTTTACTGTGGCTAATGGCACTGCGTTGACGTCTGACGACTGCCTAAGAACAGAGAGTGAAAGGATGAGGACGATGGTTAACATGAGCAAGCTTCATCCGACCCTGATTGACCGGATCTTCGGAGGCGCTGCCGGACTTATGTAGGCTTAACGGTGAATGATTGGCAAGGCATGGACTTTGGGAACTAGGAAAGTCGTGAGAGGTCGTTATGTAGAATATACTGAGGTGCTGAAATTACCACAGTCGTTGGTGGCAACGACGAGGTCGATGTTGAGATGCGGTGGGAAGACGTGCCTGATGTAGCCGCGTCCAGGACCAAAATGAGACTTGAATATCATGCTCCCACTGCAAATCCTATTCTTCATCTTCCTCCCAGCAGCAGCAGCGCGTCGACATCCATTCAATGATCTCTCATTCCCTAACCACCACCTGCTTCAATCAGACGCATTTCCTGTTGTAGACACTACCTCTTTCACCCCGACTGCACCGTCATCCGTTTCCCCAACCATTCCCCAGCTCAAGTCACGTCCGACGACGGTGTACCGGCCTGACTCTCTCGACGCCCTCCACCAATATCGGCTTCGATCTTTACACCACTCTCAGAGCCTGGTGGATCAATTACAATGGAATCCTACAGAAGTGCAAGGTCCCGATATAGAGGAGCGACACACTCTTGCCCAGCTAGCACGCATGGCTGGCAACGCGTATGCCCTTCCAGGTCAAAAGAATTGGTACGAGATTGACGAAGCATGGAATATGGTGAGTTAAACTTGAGTTCAGCAGCAGTTTTTTTGTGACGAATCTATGCTAGAGCTTCCCCTTTGGCTGGGAAGAGTCAGAGGGATTCAGAGGTCACGTCTTCCTCTCTTCCGACAACTCGACCATCGTTCTTTCTATAAAGGGAACCACCCTTCAAGGCCCAACGTCCAAGCTTGACAAATATAATGACAATCTGTACGTCCCATCCCACATA